CGGGACCGGTCGGGTGCTGCCGCGCCGCAGAGGCTGCCGAGGCGGCGAAGATCCTGCTCCGGGAGCGGCGCGCCGACCCGCGGCGTTACTCCGCGCTCTCGCCGGCGGACGCGTACAGCCGCCGGCGCCCTGCTTCTCCCGCTCCTCCTTCTCCTCTTGCTCCAAAGGCCGAGCCGGCAACAGCCGATCAGCCGCCGCCGCCGTCGCCTTCACCCCCGGCGGACCACAAGGGCAGCCCCTGGGACGCGCCGTCTGGGGAGGTTTATTCCTAAGGGATGGCGCAGGGGCTCCCTCGGACGCCCGCCCTTTCCCAGCCTCGCCTGGTTTCTGTCCCACTTGGACTCTCTCGCTTACAGTAGGTAGGCACTTGCCACCCTGAAATAGACGCTCTCTTTCTTTCTCCTCCTTTCCGCAGCCGGGCAGCCCCTCCGTTTGTTCCTGAATGGCTCCCTAGACCGTTATACTAACGTTCTCCATCCCTCTCCCCGGCCTCTCTCACTTGCGCTCTTACGCTGCTCGCTCGCTCGCTCTCTCTCTAGCTCTCTCTCTCTTGTCGGGAGCTTCTGGAGCTCCGCTCAGAGCTCAGAGCGAACCTTCTGCTGCCAGCAGATAACATCACGATCTCGCCTGGGAGGAGAGATTTATAAGTTCTCTCTGAACCACGTGTTTGCCTTCAACAAAGTGACGTGCTAGGATTACAGTCAGAAGTCCTCTGGTTACTGAGACCACGAGCTCTCCCCGAACCGTTGAGGGGGGTGTGGAAACGAGGGCTGTGAGGACGGGGGAGGAGGTGCGCCCTGACAACTGTGATTTACGGTATTTACTTTCTAGTCATTTTGGACAGGCCTGTTGAAGGACAAGCTATCAAGCCTCCTCTTCTTACTCAGTGTGGCTCCCTCGCAGCCTCCCAAATTCAATCACTTGCTCTGATGGAAGCCCTCTCTCCTGTATCATGTGCACACGCACGCACACACTCACAGACACACACATACCCCTTTGGAAGGAGCACCAGTCTACTCAGGGCCAGGCCAGCCCTGAAGACATGCCTTTTGATCTAAGACTCGTGTCCTACCTTTTTAATGGGATTCCATAACAGGTTGCTATGTTAGAGCTTACTGTTGCCAGTTTCTGTTTACAATACTCCTTTATTTGTGAACTGCTGGGAAATAGTTCATCTTTTTCGCCTAAAGAATAAGTTATACTCATATTTGCTTTACTGTTTTGAATAAATAAAAGGTCATCTTCTTAATCAGCTGCCTAAGCCACTTCTTATACCGTTTTCTCTTCACCTTCTTCCTAGCCTAGACATTATCAACCAACTTCATTCTTTCCATAGCACACATCCAGGAATTTTAAGTGTTTGATGTCTACTGTTATAACTACTCATAACTTGACATTTTATATTTCAACCTAGTCCAAATTAGATGAATACAAGAGTAGTTCTTGCGCCTATTCAATTTTCCCTTCTTTTATTTTACCTTTAGTTACTCAAAGTCAACATTTTCATTTCAGCATGACTCGGTGGCCATATTGACTAGACAGATGATTTTCACTGGAAACTGTTGAGGTTCCCCCCAAACTCAAGGCCTCTATATTACTCCCGAGTTCAGATGTTCCCTAGTTCCTTGTCACAAGGAACTTTCTATAACTTTTGGGATTTACACTTTAGATGTGTATGGGGCTGATATCATTAGTAAATAGAGGGCTGAATAAATAGTAATAACAATAGCTAACATATACTACACTTAGTAATGTGACATATACACAGTCATTTAATCTTCACAACAACCATATAAAGTAGGTCTCATTACTATCCATATTTTGCAGATGAAGAAACTGAAGTACAAAGAAATATCTTGTTTAAGACCAAATGTAGGTGGTAGAGCTGGATTTTGCAGTTGGGATCCTTTGCACATGTTCTTACCCACTATTTACTTGTAAGAAATACTGTTCCTAGAATATGTTCTGACAAACAGGGATTCTATGGTAAAATAAGTTTGGGAGATATGGGGTACTCTATTGTCCTCTTACAGATTCACAGTTCCCATTACTAAATTAAAGGCTCTGAGAATCCTGCAGAAAAGAACATTAACACATTTTTAACACAGCATTTTCTGAACTCCTTTGAACACGGAATATTTTTCCTATTAAAACACAATGAAAAACTCTGGAATAAAGGAATTGTTCCAACTTCCTTCAAAATTAATTCTGAAAATTATGTGTATATCAGCATCAACGGGTTCCTTTCCTTGAGGCCAGTTTCTAATTGAAGCAACTCGAAAGGAGTTTGACAATAAACTCTGGAATAAAGGAATTGTTCCAACTTCCTTCAAAATTAATTCTGAAAATTATGTGTAAATCAGCATCAACGGGTTCCTTTCCTTGAGGCCAGTTTCTAATTGAAGCAACTCGAAAGGAGTTTGACAATCAGCTACCATCCCAGTAACCAAAGCAAAATAGAATCAAGAGATCTACTTTCAGGTTACTTGTTTCATCAGCTTAAGTCATCCCCTTTGAGTTCAGTTTGAGAACTGCAGAATCTAGCTATATAGAAAGGGCAAAAAGTGCATATTCCTACACCTGGTGCAATTATAGAACATAGAGCAGGAGCTACAAACTAGAGCTCCTGAGTGAAGATGCCACTATGAAATACAGCTGGTTACCTGAGTGAGTTGTCACCATATTCTGAGGATATGGGTTCAGCTTCCCCTCAAGCTAGTGAGCATCCCTCACTCGATGTCAAGAGACTACTTTCCTGGTACAGACCCAGATGCACCTTAGGTTAAGTGGATTCAGACTAGAGTGTGGATAGAGCAGCAAAAGTCCATCTACATCACTTCTAGGAAAACAACTTAAGCCATAAATTCTTCTGAAAACCACCCCCCTTCCCAACATAAACATACACACTGTTGTTCATTCTACTCAGTTTGTTGAACACTTACTGCTTACTTAACAACCCTTTACACCTGAGACCCCTTCATAAGAGGCTGCTTTAATTTCCCCTAGGCCCAGGAGGGTCAGACAGGGAAGGGGTTGATGAGATCGTCTGGAAAGTGTTAGTAATGTGAGGACGCCAGGAGAGGTGGAGCCCCGTTCCACCTCTCAGGTGAGCAGTTCTTTGAAGATGTAACAGACAAAACTGCACAAGCTATTTCCCTGGTAACCATAAATGAATCCTTTCTTCTATTAAATAACTCTTTTAAGGACTTTTCATGTCTATATTCAAGAAGCAAAACATTCATTAAATTTATTGAGATCTGAGGTGCAAGGGACTCCATAAATTTTCATGTTAAAAGGGCATTTAAACTACATACACCATCTTGATTACCTCCGGCAGTGGTTAAAAGGGCAAGCTCCAGAGCCAAGATTTCTTGAGTTCAAATTCCTGTCACTTTCTGGCTTTGTGATCCCGACCAAGTTACTGGGACACTCTGTGTTAGTTTCTTCGTCTATGAAATGGGGATAATAACGTAGTACCAACCACATAAGATTATTGTGAGGATTAAATTATACAAGGTACAAAAAGCAAGTATAGCAAAACCGGGCACTTAGTATGTGCTCCTTAAATGTTACCTACCATTATCTTATACTATCACTCTTCACTTTTGCTAGGAAATTTATAATAAAACATATCTGGCCTTCACTCTTTCTCAAATATAAATAGAATGAAAAAAACAGCAAAGAACTCAATAAGAATTTGCTTCATGGTTATGTTTTCTAATAGTTTCTGTAGACACATGTTCATTATTTTAAACATTATCGTATTTTGTCCCAGTAATTGTAGGAGGAAAGGGCAAGAGAACACACTTTCAGTGAATAGAACACTAAATGACTATTAAAGTTTCGTTAAGCATCTGAGATTAAGTTTGCTTATTATTTACCACCCTAAAATTCAATTCTTTGTTTCCAGATCCGAGGATGGTGCAGCTGTTTCAACTACTAGCCTTTCTCTGCTCACTAATGGGGTCTATTCACTTAAATGATGTGGAATTCCTACAAGAGGCTAAACAAAACTCCTCATCCCTACCCTGGAGTTTTACCCCTATAGTTCACAGACAAAGCTTATGATCTAAAAGGTCCTTTCTAACCCTGATAAAGAACAACTTCACTTGTAACAATTCTGAAACAATTTGGAACAATTTTGAAAGTTTTCCACAATGGTTTCAAGCATTAAAAACCAGGAGGCAGGGAAAAGAAATATATGGAATTACTGTTAATTGATTACATTTTTCTACAAATAGTGATAGAATATAAATACAAAATTACCCTAGTATAAAAATACACCAAAAGCCTTTTAAGTTCTTA